GGATAAATGTTATTTATAGGTACTAAGATGGAGTTCATGTATGAGACATAGAAAATATTCTCTCTAACCAATTTATCCGATGAGGTGTGGAAAACCCGAACAGGAGATCACCCAATCTTGCAGGAGGATTGTTAGTTTCTCTACGTAGCATTGTCGCTTCCTTATTTACATGTTCAAAAAAAAAAAAAACTGCAACCCAAAAAACACCACCAGACGAGAGAGAGGGAGAGAGAGAGAAAATAATGGCGGCAGAGTCGGTGGGAATGTCATCGGCCTCGACAGCTTCATCACTTGGCAAATTCAACAATGGCTCTCGGGGCCCTCTGCCTCTCTCTCCTCGCCGCGTCCTCGGTCTCACCACCGCTCTCCGCCGCCGTCGCAGCCACTCTCTCTCTTCTTCTTCTTCTTCTCACTCTGAATTCTTCGGAGGCGTCCGTCTCAGCACCACCACTCCTTCCAAGCTCGCAACTCCACCAAATCAACAGAAATGCAACTTCTCTGTCTTCTCCATTGCCGCTGTCGCCGAAGGTCTCTCTCTCTCTCTCGCTAACTTCATATTCAATGTGTTTGAAAGTGGTTTCTGTTGATTGAATTTGTGAATTTGGATGTAAGTTTTGATCAATTCCTCTTTAGTTGTTTCAATTCTCACTCTCTGATTGAAAATTTTAACAAGATCAATTTTTGTTGTGTGCTGGAAATGGGAACATTTGGCTGTTTGTTTTAAAGTTAAAATAACCCCATTTTGTTATCTCTACTATTTACAAAGAATTTGGAAAATGTAAACCAATATCATTTTGGATTTGTGTCTTTAATGCTCTTAGAATAGTGTGGTATTTTCTATATCTTTAGAAATCTAGGGTATGTTTGACTAGCTGGATTAATAGTGAGGGGATTCACAATCCATGAGATTAATGTTGGATCGGTTATCCAGTTGGACTAGTGAGATACTTCCTCTTCTCATGTTTGTTTTGCAATAGATATGGAAGTATATAATTTTAATTATATGTATGTTTTGTGTTTTTAGTTGTAGGATTAAAAATCTGTCAAACTTTGTTGGATAGAATGGCCTTTGCTATCTGAATAATAAAAATTTTGCAACTAAACAATGGAATGTGAGTCCCATGGGTTAATAATCCCAATCCTATGCTATAATCACCCAATCAAACAATCCCCTAAAACCTAGTTGTGTGGAGTTTTATTCTCTTGACATTGTCTGTGGTTCAAGATTTAAAAGCATTGAAATACCATTGCTAGCAATTTGTCAAGTGCATTTTTTACCATGTTTGAATGAATAAACTCTAATGCGTGTCGTGTTGTTCTGAAATATTTATCCATAATTTGGCTGCCTATGCTGATGATGTAGTTACATCTGAAATATTTATGCAGAATTTGGGTGATATGATGATCAGGTGCCAAGTGACAAATACTTATTTACCTGTGTGAATAATCTGGAAACTTTATATGACTTACAATTGCAAAGCTATGTTAACTTTGCTATAATACATTTACATGACAGGCTTGGTCATTGAATGGTATTATCTTTGGTTTATTGTTGACACTTTACTTACAAGCTGACATAGCAAATACGGGTTCCTTCTTTGTTATTCTCCAGAGACAAACCGTGCAGTAGCTTTGAAAGACTATCGCAATATCGGGATCATGGCTCACATAGATGCAGTGAAAACCACTACAACTGAACGCATTCTGTACTATACAGGTAGAAACTATAAAATTGGTGAGGTACATGAGGGAACAGCTACCATGGACTGGATGGAGCAAGAACAAGAAAGAGGCATTACAATAACTTCCGCAGCAACTACCACATTTTGGAACAAGCATCGGATTAATATAATTGACATGCCTGGCCATGTTGACTTCACGCTTGAAGTTGAGCGAGCTCTTAGGGTTTTGGATGGTGCTATATGCTTGTTTGACAGTGTTGCTGGTGTGGAACCACAGTCAGAAACTGTGTGGAGACAAGCTGATAAATATGGAGTACCTAGAATTTGTTTCGTTAACAAAATGGATCGTCTTGGGGCAAACTTTTTCCGAACAAGAGATATGATAGTAACAAATTTGGGTGCCAAACCGCTTGTAATTCAATTACCAATTGGTTCAGAAGATAATTTTCAAGGAATTGTTGATCTTGTGAAGATGAAAGCTGTGGTCTGGTCAGGAGAAGAATTGGGTGCCAAGTTCGTGTATGAAGATGTTCCAGCTGATCTTCAAGAGTTGGCCAAGGACTACAGGGCACAGATGATAGAGACCATAGTTGGGTTAGATGATGAAGCTATGGAGGGATATTTAGAAGGAGTTGAGCCTGATGAGGAAACCATTAAGAAATTAATTAGGAAAGGTGCAATCTCAAGTATTTTTGTGCCAGTTTTATGTGGTTCGGCTTTTAAAAACAAGGGGGTTCAACCGTTACTTGATGCAGTTGTGGATTATTTGCCTTCACCACTTGACTTGCCACCAATGAAAGGCACAGACCCTGAGAACCCGGAAGTGACAATTAAAAGGGCTGCAAGTGATGAAGAACCATTTTCTGGGTTGGCTTTCAAGATCATGAGCGATTCATTTGTGGGCGCCCTTACATTTGTAAGAATATATGCTGGGAAGCTTACAGCTGGATCTTATGTACTGAATGCAAACAAGGGAAAGAAAGAGAGAATTGGTAGACTTCTAGAAATGCATGCCAACAGCAGAAAGGATGTTAAGGTAGCTTTAGCGGGTGATATTGTTGCTCTTGCAGGTCTGAAAGATACCATTACAGGAGAAAGAAACATTGTGTGATCCTGAGAAGCCTATTGTGCTTGAAAGGATGGACTTCCCTGAGCCTGTTATAAAGGTTGCAATAGAACCCAAGACTAAAGCCGATGTTGATAAGATGTCGACTGGTTTAGTCAAGCTTGCTCTAGAGGACCCGTCTTTCCACTTCTCACGGGATGAAGAGATCAACCAAATAGTTATTGAAGGAATGGGAGAATTGCATCTCGAGATTATTGTTGATCGGCTCAAGAGAGAATTTAAGGTTTATATCTGCTTTTCTTCTCTTTTTTTGGGCATCAGTTTCTCTAGCTGCATTCTTGGTCGTTTTTACTCTCTCTCTCACATACACACACATACAGGACATCATATATATTATCCAAGCTGATTCATCTGTTGTGACTTGTGAGCTATCATTTTGCACAATAAATCTATCACCTACATTTTCTGAAAACAGAAGCAAGAACTTATGAGATTATGCTTATGGTTTGATAAATCCTCATTCATTTCTTCAAAATTATGATTTTTCTCTTTTTTGTTTTCCATTTTTTTTTTAATTACATGTAAATGAACAAATGCTATTTTTAAATCTATATCTTCATAATTTGATCATTTACATTGTTTGATTTTCCAAGAACAGTGTTTGATGTGATGATCTGAGTTGTCACAACCTGTGCTTTCTTGCCACCATAGGTAGAAGCTAATGTCGGTGCGCCACAAGTAAACTACCGTGAAAGCATTTCTAAAGTTTCAGAAGTGAAATACATTCACAAGAAACAGTCGGGTGGGCAAGGACAGTTCGCTGATATCACTGTAAGGTTTGAGCCCATGGAACCAGGTAGCGGATATGAATTCAAGAGTGAAATCAAGGGAGGCGCGGTACCAAAGGAATACATCCCGGGAGTGATGAAAGGATTAGAAGAGTGCATGAGTAATGGAGTGCTTGCGGGCTTTCCTGTTGTCGATGTGCGTGTTGTATTAGGTGATGGTTCTTACCATGATGTCGATTCGAGTGTCTTGGCATTCCAACTTGCAGCCAGAGGAGCTTTCCGAGAAGGTATGAAGAAAGCCGGTCCGAAGATGCTAGAGCCCATAATGAAAGTTGAGGTTGTAACACCCGAAGAACACTTGGGAGATGTGATTGGTGATCTCAACTCAAGGAGATGACAAATCAACAGCTTTGGTGACAAACGTGGTGGCCTCAAGGTATGTGAAACACCATGGTTCTTTCGTACCTGATTCTTGCATGTCCAAATATGCCTGCTGTGCCAGCACGGGCACCATTAACGTATGAACTTCTTTTTACGAAGTTGATATTGAATTGATAAATCCATGAGTCTAGAAATTCATTTCGGACAATTGAACCTTTCAAATAGTTTCTTTTCAAGAACCGCAAAAATTTGTGCCAAAACAACATAGGCTAAGAACAAATAACAAAGGCCCTGAACACGTAATGGATCTTGAATTGGTATTTCTGTATCTCCAAGGCATGACATTATCTATCCACTTCATATTCTCCCAGAGTTTGCTCCTAGAAATATAGTTTGTCTTGTCTTGTCTCGTGTGAGTAGAAATTGTTAAAAGTCAAAAACATGACTATTAAAAGTTGAAGACAGAAATTGTGACATAGGTTCATTCTCCTAACATCAAATATAAAACTGCAGTGTTGTTTTTGGTGTTTGTAACTGAACTTGCTTTTGATGAATGATTTTATTTCTGGTTCTGCAGGTGGTCTATGCCGTGGTTCCACTAGCTGAGATGTTTCAATATGTCAGTACACTCCGGGGAATGACAAAAGGCCGGGCTTCTTACACTATGCAATTAGCCAAGTTTGATGTTGTCCCTCAACACATCCAGAATCAGCTAGCAGCAAAAGAGGACGCAGTTGCTACTTAATCTGGTTTTCCCTGATTTGAGGCACCAATACTTGGTGTCCCTCAAATTTTTTGTTATTGAAATCCCACAAACTCAATTCTTAACTGTTACCAAATTCATGAATATAACGTAAGCAAACTTAACAAAAAAATGTAGCTTGAAGCTTCTATTTCATGTTGGTTCATGTGGTTTTGACACGGTGAAACATGCAGATTCTGATACATCCAGCGACAGTTAAGTATAACTCATGTACATTCAAAAACCAGGTCAACCCGATTATGAAAATTTGGCATCTTCACCTGCTGATAAAAATATAATAACTGTTTAGGGTAATAGAATTGGCCACGAGAGCACCCAAGTTGCAAACAGAAACAATGCATATACCAGTCACCAAAAGCAAAAGTAGATAGTGTATCTATTTTCTCATAAAAACAACTAGGTCAGCTGATCCCAAGCACACAAAAAGCCTAGTGATAAATCTGAAAGTAAGAGGGCTGGGCTCTCAAATCCATCATGAATCAAAACAGGGACACAAGATTAAATAAAAAAAAGACAAATGCTCCAACACTAGAAAATTATCAAAGTGAATAGATTTTATCGATTGATCCACAGAAATACACAGTAGGAGAGAACAATTAAACAGATGCCAATGCCCCTTTCCACATTTTCATCTGATCTGGACAATCCCTGCACTAACCAGCTTCTGAATCTTGTCCATGACAGCAGGGTTCTTCGAATGCTCCTGAGCCGCCTTGGGATTTTCCTGGAAGTCCACCAACACCTGTCCATAACCCCAGTCAGCATTATTAGCCCAACATGAGAACTCAATGATTCAAATGAAAATGAAAATGAGAACCGACATATTTTAAAGCCATACACTATACCTGTCTCATAACAGGATCAGTTAGGATGTTCTGAATTTCTGGATCCTGCATCGCCTTAGCCTGCAAAGATGGTGCAGACTTATTAACTATACCAGTAGAAAAATTGTGCGTGCTATGCCTGAAGGCACTTCCTTATTCTAGAAACAACACTAGCCGTTAGATTTATTCAATCTTATCCATCAACTATGCTACATAAGACAATTTTAAAAAATGGATCTGTTTTATTATATAGATTTGAACTTGGGCTTGAACCCGACAGACCAACATCATTGAAATTGGACATACCTGTCTCTCCTTCATTTCCTCAGGGCTTAAATCCCCACGGCTGGCCTTGTTAATCTGTTGTACACATCTGCAAACAGTTTTGAAACACAAATCCCATTCATTATGCAAATTCTAAAAGCCAAACACCAACAAATCAAGAACAACAAACTACTATAACTAGTAACTACGTCCAGGTAACCATACCTCCTTATACCATCTAACAATTCCTGGTTCTGAGGCTCGTGCTTCAATCCTTCTTGGTATGTTTCCAAAGCTTTATCGTACTCTTTCATGAAAAACTGAATTGCACCTTTTCTACTATAACCCTTAACAAAAGTTGGATCAAGCTCAATGCACTTCTCTGCATCTTTCAATCCCTCAGGCATTGCCCCAAGTTTCGTGTAGCATGCAGCCCTGTTACTAAATGCCTGGGAAAAGAGACAGAAAACCACAAAACAAGATGTTTTTAATCTAAGAAATGACTTTAGGCTTAGTACTTGTATGTGCGTGTGTACTTTTTATAGATACTAAAAACCAAACACAAACCAAGTTAATTACCTTTGCATCTTTGGGATTCCTCTTTATAGCTTCCGAATAATGTTTCACAGCCTCTGGATACTTTTGTTCTTTGAAAAACTCATTGCCTACACCACAGAAATACAGATATTATGCACACAGAGAGAGAGAGAGAGAGAGAGAGAGAGAGAGAGAGAGAGAGAGAGAGAGAGAGCGGGAGAGAGAGAGAGAGAGGGTCCCAAATCAAGAAGAATATTCCCAATCAAAAAAATAAAGTACCTTTCTCTCGCTCCTCATCAGCTATATTTGGATCAAAATACTCTTGTTGCTCTAGTTCTTTCTTCGCTTTTTCAGCATCATTGAGCTTTTTCAATGTGTCCGGGTTGCGATGCTCGGTTAGAGCTTTCTGGAATGTCTCGATAGCAGGATCATAGTCCTTTGAACATTTTGCCATCTTCACTAATGCACTTGCTTTTCTTGTCAAGGCCCTTGCAACCATCTTATAGTCTGACCTAAGCTCTCTTCCCCTCTCAACAGCTTTATCACAATCTTTAATGCATTCATCATACTGAAATAATAATATATATATAAAAAAAAACAACACCCAATTAGTACACATTAATGTGTGTTTAGGAGAGAAAAGATTGAGTGCACACCTAACCTTTAGCATAGTGTACAAAATAGTTGCCCCGTGACTTGAACCCATATCCTCAAGGTTATTAGATCAAGGTTTAATCATTGAACCAATGTACTTTTAATCAATGTACTTTTTTTTATATTATTAATATAAAAAAAAGTACATTGATTAAACAAGTACATCGGGGTAGAAACAGGTACATGCCACAAATTAGACAGCAACAAATTGGACAACAGAATGTTTGTCAATAAGTACAAACATATTGGTACAAACATATTGGTCCAGGGTAGAACTATACATCCAGCAACTACTTGAGACCACATATGAATCAAACATGTCCCCGACATTAGTATACATGCAATTCAAACCAATTGTAAAACAATCCACTCTGCCACACATGAATCAAACAAGTCCGACATTAAGTATGCATGCAATTCAAACCAACTGCAAAACAATCCACCCTGCGGCATATGAATCAAACAAGTCCCTGTCTGCAATATATTAGCCCCTTTTTTACGTTCCCTTTTGTTCCATTTGACATTATCAACCAACAATACATTGCAGCACCATACGACTCGAATATGACGTTTCACCCATGACACCAAGCATAGGTTATCCACTAGATATAGATCGTTTAGTGTTTTCCCTCAAAACCTGGTCGTGAACTTTCTCTATTCAACCAAATAAGTAACACAATGAAAAATGATCCACAAACATATTTCTTTTTGTCGTGTATTTAATTGAACTTTTTTTTTGGTCCATTTCATAAATACATAGCACTTGGGAGTTCTATATATTTGAATGTTAAGATGGTTTTACTGTAGTAACATGTAATGATATTGGAATAGTTTGAAATATTTATACCTGATTTTGTTTTACAAAGCTAAACTTTGTGTTCCAAACTGACCAAACTCACTAATTTTTCTTAGTATTTGCATCCTTTCTACTAAAATCCTGGCTCTGCCACGAACTATAGTTAGATTTTAAGGAAAAATTACTTTTACAGTTATACCAACAAAGGCAATCCAATGAGACTAATTCTATTCAAACTTCCTGCCAACTAATGAAGCAAAGAAGCGGAGAAAAGGCAAACCAAAGAAGGGAAAAAAATACGCCACCCAACATGCCTCAAAACATACGAACAAACACAGAAGAATAAAAACTACTGTCTAAACTAAATTACACTCCTTGTGCTACATGAGCTCTTTTATTTCCCTCAAACTACCCATGTTCACCCAATATGACACCCAATATGACAAAGATACCGATGCGTATAAATGTCCAACACATGTACCATTTTAGACATACAATCTCTTATTCACTATCAAATAAACATTTCTAGCCTCTCATTCACAAGGAAAAGATAGAAATTTTCTACTTTTTACTTAAATTCTATTTAATTTCAAATATATTTTTACATAATTTACAACATTATCTAAAAATATTATATAATCTATACCATATATAAGTGCTCAGTATGCATCTCCGTATCCATATCCAACTTTAGGATACACATCTAATATACTAAGTTCAGGTGCACCCGGTACTTGTACTTTGAGTCCATGAAACGTAGTAAATGCCTAAAATAACTATACACCTCTTCCTCATTCACCAAACCCTGAAAATCAAAAAAGGTAAATGCTATAGGCCTACCCATTTATAAAAACATCGACTTTTTGCAAAATGGTTAATCGAATTCACACTAAAGTGAAAGTAAAGTCAAAATGCTAGCGTACCTTTCCCATCTCCAAATACACGGCTGCTCGGTTCGTGAGAAAAGAAATATCTTCATCATACAATTCAATCGCCTTCGTGTAATGCTGAATTGCATTCTCGAAATCCTTCTTCTTGTAAGCAGCATTCCCAGCTTCCTTCTCCTTCAGCGCCTGAGCCTTTTTCTCTCTAGCTTCCCTCTCCTCCTCTGCTACCTCCATAGGCTCAGGCTCCGGTTCCGGCTCCTTCTCCTTCGGCGGCTCCGCCTCAGCAGGTCTCTTCCTCTCCGGCGGCGGCGGCGCATCAGGAAAGTCCATATCTTCAGCCGAATTCGGAGTCATAATCTTCACATTCAACAAAACACCAAAAGCTTGCATAACTCTCTGATCCTTCAAATACATATTCAAATTGCTAGGGTTTCTCTGAATGTCCTGCATCATTTTCACGAAATCAGGCTGTTGCAGATACACTCTCGTGCTCGGATCGGCGGTGAGCTTCGCCCACATCTCAGGCCCAGTAAACGCATCCCCAAACGGAGACGCGGCGGCAGAGGAGGAGGAAGACGGCGGCGGAGGAGCGCGCGATCTTGCGGCGGCGGACTGAGCGTCAGCGAGGCCGGACTTGAGAGCCTCGTTGTTAGGGTCGATTTCGAGGCCTTTTCTGTAGGATGAAACGGCGTCGTCGTAGTGGTGGAGACCAAGGTGAGCCGCGCCGAGTCGAGAGTAGCCTTTGGACCAGTCAGGCTTGAGATGGACGGTCTTTTCGGCGTCGGACAAGGCGTCGGAGTACTGGTGGAGGGAGGCGTAGGCGGCAGATCGGTTGGAGTATAGGACGTGGTTGTCCGGAGCGAGATTGATCGCCACCGTGAAGTGGCGGATCGCGTCGGCGTAGTTTCCAGCGGAGAAGGCGGCGTTGCCTTTGGCCTTGGCTTCGTCGGCCATTATCGTCTGCGATTGCTCTGTCTCTCTCTGTGTTGTTTTGTATCTCTCTCTTTCTCTTTCTAGAGTTTTGCAGAGAAATGCTGGAGAGAGAAGGTAGGGCTTAAAAGGAGGGCGTGACAGACGAGAGAGTTCTAGGCCGGTGGAGATTGGAGTGTGTGGTTGGTGCTTCTGGAATGTTCTGTTGCGGATGGAGTGTGATTGGATTCGCGTGTAGCGATGTCTGCGTTCGTGTGGGAGGAGTTGTTTGGATACAACAATAGAAAGGCTCGGGTAACCCAATTTTTGTTCGGATCTTTCCGTGGATGTTTGGGAAATTAGTATTTTTAAGTTTGGTGTGCAAAAAAAATAAAAAGGAAATGTGAGATTCAAACGTTGTGTTTTTTTTTTTTTTTTAATAATAATAATAAGATAATGAAAAAAAAAAAAAGGTGATGCTCACTAACGAGTGGTAAAATAATGAAAAATTGATGGAAAAAAGATATATATATATATTAAAATAAAAGTGTGATAACGGGGGTGGTTGTGTTGTGTTTTTGTTTGATGATTATGTTTTCAAAAAGAAGATTATGATTCATTATTTTAAGAGATATATATATTAAAATAAAAGTGTGATAACGTGGGTGGTGTGTAAGCCAGGTGAGGTGTCGGTTGCTTTTCAAACAAATGGAGTAGAATAAATATAAAAAAAGAAAAGAAAGTGGAAAGATAAGAGAAGTTGATGTAAAAATATTAAAAATGTGTTCCTCATTGGGTTTGCAGATGAGCTTGGTAGATAGGTAGAGCAGCAAGCGGTGCAGGTGGAGGAACAGAGTGGCTGGTGGAGTAGTAGCCGGCGGAGCTGGGGTGGAAGTAGGAGACGATGCCGGAGCGAGATTGATCGCCACCGTGAAGTGGCGGATCGCGTCGGCGTAGTTTCCGGCGGAGAAGGCGGCGTTGCCTTTGGCCTTGGCTTCGTCGGCCATTGTCGTCTGCGATTGCTCTGTCTCTCTCTGTGTTGTTTTGTATCTCTCTCTCTTTCTCTTTCTAGAGTTTTGCAGAGAAATGCTGGAGAGAGAAGGTAGGGCTTAAAAGGAGGGCGTGACAGACGAGAGAGTTCTAGGCCGATGGAGATTGGAGTGTGTGGTTGGTGCTTCTGGAATGTTCTGTTGCGGATGGAGTGTGATTGGATTCGGGTGTAGCGATGTCTGCGTTCGTGTGGAATGGAGGAGTTGTTTGGGTACAACAATAGAAAGGCTCGGGTAACCCAATTTTTGTTCGGATCTTTCCGTGGATGTTTGGGAAATTATTATTTTAGGAAGTTGTTTTAATTTTTGATTATTTTCGTAGGTTAAAATTTTTGTCTTTATGAAGATGATTGAATTTTTTTATAGTTAGATGTGATATTTGTGAAAAAAAAATGATTATAAATTTAATATGATATTTTATTTTTTTAACTATTTTAACTTATTTTATCTTTTTGTAAATTTTAACCTAAAAAAATTAAAAACTTTCGTTTGGTTTGTATTTCTAAAAAATTTTTGGGAAATTTTCTCTACAAATAAGTTTTTAAAAGTAATCAAACCAAACAAATTTTCCTAAAAAAATTTCTCAAAACTTGTAAACCAAACAAGTTTTCCAAACAAATCTCTCTCTCACACACATCAAATCAATCACTTTTTCCAAAACTCTCTCTCAAAATAATTTTCCAAAACATCTTTTGAAAAAAATCAAACCAAACAACTTTTCGTACTTTTTATCTCTAAAACACATCTCTCAAACACAAAACAAACATACCATTTCTTTTTCGCTGTAAAAGTCGAACTGCCGCAGTAATGTGTTGTTTGGGAAGATGGGATTTGACTAAAATAATTAATAAATATTAAAAAAAAAAGTAAAATAGTTTTTTTTTAAAATGTCATATCTTATACATTAATTAATTATTTTTTTATTATAATTATTCATTTGAGTGGAAAGTGAGATTATCTCTACAAAGAATGTGAAATGATGTGTCAATGATCACTCTCGATCAGGATAGGTTGGAAGGACCCTCCAATAATCAAGTCAGTACACTAATTAGTCATAATAGATAAAAAGAAAATTTTTCTAAAGAATGATTTTATCAAGATTTAGTATAATTGGATTAAATTAGATCCATTCTCTTGTCTTTTTATGCTTTACTTACCTACCCCTTTATAATTATTCTGATCGAAAGGTTCTGCTCATACTTAGTTTTGGTCGGATAACTTGTTAGGTTGTCTTTGTCTTTGTCTTTGATCGTTGAATCTCTATCGCATAGACAACCTAGATGATGTCAGACACTAGTGTTCAGCTCGTCAAGCTTTACGTCCGTATGATCAATTTGATCGGACGACTCCTCCTTCTACTAGGCCCAACTAAGTAAGGATCATCTCTATGTCTTCTCTATTAGGCCTCCTCCTTGCAACGATCAAGATTCACCCTAAAAGAAAAGTGATCCGGGTCGTTGGATTCTCTTGGGATGAATCTAAACCATTGCAAAGAGGGAGGCTAATAGAGACACCAAGGAGAGGATCCTTGCTTGGCCCAACCTATGCATTAGTCTTGTCTGCTTTGCGTTTGTCATCGTTGAATGATACTCAATTCGACGTCTCTATTTTATTTTATAGATCTGCTTTCTATAAGTCTATCTTTTATATTTCTTTATCTCCTCACGCACCTTGATTGGATGTCAAATTGCTACTAACTGTCTTCCGTGAGTTTCAAGGGACAGGTTTGGGCTTAACCCTTTTTGTATTGGGCTAGCGTGATTGGTTTTGGGTCTGAGCTCATATTTTTCCCTCCATAGTCACTAATACATAATTTTTTTCATCTCATAAGTAATTAAAAAGTGAAAAAACTTTAAAATAGCGAAATTTTCAAAAGAGTTATTGGGTTAGAGATAGGGTTAGTTTTTTTAAAATTTTATTTTGTTTTTTTTTTCATTTTTAGTAATTAAAAAAAAATTAGATTATATTTGACCAAACGAATTAAAAAGTTAATTTTTTTTTCAATTAAAAAATTTAAAAGATAAAAATAAGTAATAAATACTAGTGGTATAGCGATCTCGATTTTGACCCGACTCTTGTGGTGTTCTGGACTCGGGTTTAATGCTTTCATGCTGTCGTTTACCTATTTTCTCCCTTGTATATCCTTGAAATTGGCCTTTGGGTTGTTGTGGTTGCGTTTGGAATAGGTTGGTTGCTTGTTTGTCCAAAACCTTGTTGCCTAGAATTTTGGTCTTCTGCTTGTGCGGGCCTTCTTGCGCTTGAACGGGATTTGCAAATCCTCAGTACTTTGCACGTCTGCAAAAGTGCTGGTGGAGTGTTTTTCACGCTCGAGCGGTGTTTCCTACGCTCAAGTGGGTGGGCGCTCAAGCGTCCTTCATTGAGCTCGAGCAGTTAGTATGTTGTCTGCAAAAGTTCTGAAGGTGTGCATTCTGCATTCAAGCGGGTCTCTTCTTATGCTCAAGCGTAGAAAATCTTTGTGTCTGATGCTCGAACGTGAAACCTTCTGCTTGAGCGGACTACGCGTATATCAAATCACGAAAAACACTTTTTACATCACTTTTTCATATCTTTTCACCCAAAACCCTAAAGTTGAGAGTCTCTCTCTCTAAAACTCACATTCTTTCTACATTTTGACCTAGATCCTTTGATCTCTACACCCTTGAGCCTTCATTAAAAAGATAGAGTTCCTCAAGAACTTCTCTTTGATCCGATTGAAGTTAGATTTCGGCATTTTTGGGGTTCCATCCTTGTTTGGCTTGTCTTCTCTCTTTGAGGTAGGGATTTTCGACACTTTGTTATCAGTTTTAACTTAGTTATTTGTGATTGCATAACAATGGTGGGTTTTGGTGGTATTTTGAACAAAACCTAGGGTTTGGATATAAAATGGAAATTGGGATTTTTGGTGAATAAGAAGGAAATGATAGTGGGATTTGAAAATGATGTTATATAGTGTCAAAATAGTTGATTTTGATACTTGGTTGAGATTTGGGAAAAGAAGGAGTTTGCCCTAGAATGAGTATTATATTTACTTTGTATAAATAAATTAAATTGATATTGTAAACTTGGAATTGGACAAGTATTGAAATGGATGGTGAAATGAAATAGATGATGTGTCTCATCTTTGGAAATTTTGAATAAATTATCTGTCTTGAGAATATATATCTGTTTAGAAATATCTGTATTGGTCTATCGATGGAGGATAACTTTGATTGTTGTAGAAATTGCATATGGATTAGGTGAATTGAAACTATCTCATGGTTGATTATCATCAAATATGATCATGTTGTAAATATATTGTATATGTATGTTTATTTGGGAGTGGAAAAGGGATGTACTCCATGTGTGATTATGTGTTTATATACATTGTATAGGTATGTTTGTTTGGGAGGAGAAAGGGGATGAACTCCATTATAATTAAGTTGGCTGGAGTGCCCTAGGTTAAAGTCCAGAAATCCATACATGGGTGTCGATCCCGTGGACGAAATATCCATAAAATGGCAATTGGAAGTGTTATGTGTTGATTATGAAATTGTTAGATCATTGAGTTGTAGTCTCATTTGGGTTATTGGAAGATAATGGAAATTGACTTATGTATTGGAATGAATTAGAGGAAAAATAAATTGGAATATGGAATTTATATTCTATGGCAATACATAGTATGAATGTTTTATCCCGGGCATTATATATATACATACACTTATATCTTTGTTAAATCACATACATTGTGTTATATTATTCTTACTAGGCTATGGCTCACCCTATTTGGGAAAGCTGCTCCACCAAGGCAATAGCATAGGAGGGATCTTCGGGAAGCAAGAGCTTCTTGTTTGTTATATTTTGTCTAGCCTAGGTCTTTAATTGTAAGGGCTAGTCCCACTTTTATTGTAACCAAGTCAAGACTTGAAAATGTATAAGCCCGAAGGGCATTATTTGTGATAGACTCTTTTGTAATATTAACTTCATGTAATGAAAAGACTATTTACACTCTGATTTATGTTGTTATGTTTATGCTTCTAGGACGTATTTATCGTATTAATTTGAGGGCGTTACAACTTGGTATCAGAGCGTACCGGGTTTGAATACTTTGGGTACGTAAGAAGTGGTTAGTACCACAATGGGTTTGTTTTGCTTGTTAGGGACTTAATGTATGGACGATATGTACTTATATGATAACATGTTTATATGATTACATGGGTATGAGATTTAATTCCGAAGATGTTGATTGGGTCT